GGAAGGGAGTGAAGGGACTTGATTGCTACTTTCTATCCTTTGGCAATGTTTGAATTTTGTGCCACATGCATGTATTACAAAACAACCACCGCACAGGCTTCTCTGGAAGAAATCAGAAAAACCCGTGACTCATCAGTGGCCCCAAATTAAGTATAATTCAAAAATTTTTCAAAAATTAAGTATAATTCTCTGACAGCCTGTAGCAGTGACAGAAATCCCACTCACTTCCAGTGGCCAAGTGGGAAAGAATCTTAGAGATCATTCCCTCTCTAGCCTGTCTCTCTCTCTCTCTCTCCCTCTCCTCTTCAGAAAAGGACAGTGACTTTCCAGGGTCACAGAGCTGAGCACTGGGAGAGCCCCAGGCCCCCATGCCCGCTACCCCTCCCGCCGGCCCCACGGCCTCTCCAGCAGGGCCTGCAGCGCCCGGACTTGCATGTGAAAAGCCACAAGGGCAGACGGGACGGTTAAATTTATCGACCGGGCTCTGTCCAAGGAAGGGCTTCAGCTCACAACATAGGAAGATGAAGAGGAGTTAGAGCAACTCGGCTTCCAGCCAGGAGGGCTGGCGAGGCTGCTGCTGCCTCACCCTGTCCCCTGCTCCTCGGCCTAATTGCTCACAGGGGCCCCAACCACACAGACACCCTCAGAGGCCGCGTGTCCCCATTACATCACACGAGGGAGGACAGAAAAGGGGCAGAAGGCTGCCACAATTCTTCTATCAGCCCGATGCCTCTGACTACACCTCAACATTAGGCCTTTGGAAGTCACTTCTTTGCATAAATCTGTTATAGCCAGAATGACAAAACTTGCTCTCGATCAAAAATTAGCACAGAACCAGAAAAGAGCCGATCTCACAGACACTCCAGGGTCTGTGGCCTTGCAAAAACATTAAATCACATCCCATCGAGAGCAGGATTGAGATGCAAAAGAGATTGCTTAAATGGAACAAAATGTAGCAGAGCATCCATCACTGGGGTGGAGCCGACTAATGGAAACAGAACCGTTTTGTCTCACTGAGTCGTGGACAGACAAGGAGGCACCTCATAACGGGCTTTGCAGGGAGGGGCAGTGGGAGGGGGCAGGGGCGACTCACCTGGAACACCGTGAGAAGCGCCTGAGGGAAATTGTCAAAGGTGCTCCGCTTGGTCTGCGACTCGTCGAAATTAAACTTGCCTCCAAACAGCTGCATCCCGAGCAAGGAGAAGATGATGATGAAGAGGAAGAGCAGGAGCAACAGCGAAGCGATGGACTTCATGGAGTTTAACAAGGATGCCACCAAGTTGCTCAGGGATGTCCAGTGCCTACAAGTCAGGGTGAGGGTGTGAGCCCAGAACGCAGACATCGCCTGACGGGAGGCGGTGCGTTGCCGCCTGGCCCACAGAAAACACCGCAGCAAGGTGCCCCCGTCCTCACCTGGTCACTTTGAAAATCCGTAAGAGGCGCACACAGCGGAACACGGAGATGCCCAGGGGAGACATGATTTCCAGCTCCACCAAGATGGTTTCCGTGATGCCCCCACACACCACGAAGCAGTCAAAGCGATTAAAGAGGGAGACGAAGTACGCCTGGAGACCCAGGCTGTACATCTTCACCAGCATCTCGCAGGTGAACAGCGCCAGGAGGACTTTGTTCGCGATATCTGGAAAGACAAAGGGGCGGCTGTCCTAGGGACCTCCGCTGCTCCCCTCCCCCGGTCCCTGCTGTGAATGCCCCCTTCTCCGCTACTGCCTCCATTGCAGAGACGTGGCACTAACATCGATGGTCTGCTTGTCTGCCAGGTTCCAGTCCTGCTGCCGCCACTACCTAGACGTGTGACTAGGAGAGGGCCCCCGGTCTCTCTGGGCCTCAGTCTCACTGACTGTGCCATGGGGAGGGGCAGCTCTCCACGTCACCTCCGATGCCTCTGAGCTCTCGGAGCCCATGCGTCTCCATTCAGTCCAGCGTACTGTATTTCCTGCTCCTATCAGTCACAAAAGCTCTTGGTCTTGCTTACAGCACCACGAGAGAAGAAGCAGTTGCCTATCCAGGTCATTTCTAACAGCAGAAAACACCTCCCGGCAGGCTGGGGAGTTGGACGGAAACAGATTTAAGCTGATGTAAGACAGGCCTTCTTGATGGCTCACAACTGCCACACTCAGAATGGACCGTCTCTGAGGACGAACTCCCACACCACATGGCTGGGGCGTTCGGGGCAGGGGAACTATCACCACTTGCCCAGAATACCAGAAGGGAAAATAAAGCTTCCCCTTAGTGGGGACGGGGGGGGGGGTTCCTCGATGCTGGGTTGTCACAGGGTAAAGGCGATGGCATGCCCTGGCGCCCATCACCGGCACCTCCACGCCAGGTGCACCCTGTGTTTGGACGGTCCTACATTCTTCCCATTAGTGCGCAATGAATCGCTCCCGCACCTGTCACACACCGAGCAGGTAGGACTAACGTGCATGGACAGCCTCAGGAATCCCTCATTCAGAACAAAAAGAGGAGAGCTTCTGCTTGTACCTTGGACCTGCGTCAGCCAGTCAGGCTGGTTGTAGTGCTCAGAGGAAATGGTTAAGGTGTTGAGAAACACCAGGACAATAACCAGCCAGTAAAACGTAACAGACTTCACGGCAGCCCTACATCGTCTGCGACTGAATCGGTTCCAGCGACGCCAGCGGCGGCTGCAAGAGAAGCAGACGTTACTCTCTGAGTGACAGATCCGGCACCTGAGTGTCCAATAAACATCACTGGGAAAGCACCTGTCTCCCACGCTGGCGGTCCAGATTGGGGTGGGGGTGCAGGAAGGAAAGACCTTGCAATACAAATTATGACGACCTTCACATACAACTTATTAAAATGTTATCTCTTGATTTGATTGTGCTATCAGTTTCCTTCCGATGGCTTTACATGACTCAACAAGCCGTCCTACATAGTCCTCAAGCCAGTTAGAAAACCCAGATATTCACAGATCCGTGTGCAGATGCAAAACGGAGTAGCACACGTATGCAGTGCACATCCCCACCATATGGCGCAGGGATCTGTTGTGCAGAGAGCCACTTAGCTTATCATTACATCTCTTCCAGCATCTCAATCATCATACAAAATTGATCAGGCAACGAAGTGCTCCAAAAACACAGCTTTCCTTTCAGGGAAATTTCCATCCTTTCTTAACCCTGGGAGATTTCTCTGGGGCCTGGCAGGGCCGTCAACGCTGAGTAGGACATGAGTCTTCAGACTGAGTCATCAGGTGCCCTTTCTAACTAGTGATGCTCAAAATATACCTTCAGGAGAAGAGCCAATATTGAATCATGTTTTCGTACAAATAAAACGAGCCGAGTCCAACAGACAAGTAGCATGTCCTTCACTGACTTTCAGTTCTGGTTTGTAATGAGGGGAGGTATTCTCTCCGTTACCCCGCTCCCCATGGAAAAGACTCCCTGCCTCAGGATGGCTTGGTGAAGTGAGCTGTGCCCAGGGGGCTGAGTCAGAGGACTCTCCGGGCTGTGCCCAGGCTGCAGGCGGCTGACTCAGCTGTGCTCTGTTAAAAACACTGAAACCCAGGGGCCAGGCAGAGAGAGATCTGTGCTAACTCTTCAGCAAGACTTGGAACAAGCAAGGTGCATGTTGTTATTGCTCTTGCTGTGTGGTTTCCAATGGCAGTAGCAGCTGGAAACATGAGGAGCCGCTAAGAAAAATTCTGCAGGGGACACTAAGGACTGTCCCTGGGGCGAGATGCTCAGTGGTGCACAGACCAGTCCACACAAGCAAGGTGCGCACTGGTCTGAAGAGGAGCCAGCCTTGGTGGGTCTGTCACAAGGACAAGTCATAGGTGTCTCCCAAATCCAGGGACATGATCGTCACACCCCTGAAACCCTGCAGCACTCCCCGTCTTGCTCCTCACTGGGTGCCCAGGCTCTGTGCCAGGCACTGGGCAGATGGAGATGAGGAAGACACAGCCCCGTGGCCCCTGTCCTTGTAAAGTAGGCAGAGTTATAGACTATAAATCTACACCAAGAGTTATTCCCAAGGCGCCAGGTACAGGAGCAAAGAGCTGCAAATGCTCTTTTAAAAAAATCTTTATCCCAGGATATTTTTTCTACCGATTTTTAAAGAGAGCGGAAGTGGAGAGAGGGAGCGAGAGAGCGAGAGAGCGAGAGAGAGAGAGAGAGAGAGAGAGAGAGAGAGGGAGGCATCGATTGGCTGCTTCCCACATGCACCCAACCGAGGCTGGGAATCAAACCCAAGACCCTTCTGTCTGTGGGCATACGCTCTATCCACTGAGCAACCGGCCAGGGCTGCAAATGCTTTGTAAGAGTCAGGACAGTCTTCGCTGGAAAACTGAGAATCCCCTCTCCACGGCTGAGTAGGAGTTTGCCAGGGGGCAGAGGGAAGGGCACTCCACTCAGAGGAAACTGCAGGACCAAAGGGACTTAGGTAAGAAGAAACAGTGTGTGTGGTATGTTTGAAAACTGAGAGCAGTGGGGAGCAAAAAGGATCAAAAGATGAGGTCAGATGCTCAGCCACGGGCCAAATTATGAAGGAATTTGCCTGCCTTCTGGCAACAGGGAGTCATGGGAAGGCTTTTCATTTTATTTTTAAAGTCCGGTTTATTGAGATATAATTTAGATGATAAAATTTACTCTTTTTAGGTTTACTATTTGTGACCACCACCACAATTAAGACATAGACTGTTTCCATCACCTAGAGTTCCTTCATGGTCCTTGTGCTCAATCTCCTCTCCTCACCACAGCCCCTGACAACTACTGAGCTGTTTTTTGTTCCTATTGTTTTGCTTTATCCAGAATGTCCTATAAATAGAATTATGCAACACAGGGTGGGGCAAAAGTAGGTTTACAATTGTGAGTACTCAAAACACAGTCTCTTCTTGTATTATTTATTACTAGAGGCCCATTGCAGGAAGATTCCTGCAAGAATAGGGCTTCCTCGGGCCTATTCCTGCAAGAACAGGGCTTTCTGTGGCCGGAGCGAAGCAGAGAAGGGAGCGAAGCCTGCCCTTTTCCGTTGCCTCGCTCCCTCCCGTCTCCGCTCCCGTGTCTGCTGCCTCGGGACACTCCATTGGCAGTGGAGCGGAGAGGCTGGATCAGCCACCGGAGTGGGCGGATAGTGCCTTGCCCCCCCTTGTCTCCCCCGCCACCTGCCTGGCCAACAGGCCTGGACACTGAAGGGGCGGGGCTGAGGGGACTGGGCACTGCCCTCTTGTGGCTATGGGCGCAGCCATCTTTGTGATGGAGTGGCAGAGTGACTGTTAATTTGCATATTACTCTTTTATTAGATAGGATTACTAGTGCCCCAGTGCACAGATTCGTGCACATTGAAAGGAAATTAATTAGAAGGTGGCTGGTGGGGCAGGACTGGGTGAGATGGGCTGGACACACCCTGGAGCCAACCTCCTGCAGTCCCTCCCCGGCTGGCTGCACCTGGGGTGGCACTAGGGCTCAAAGGGCATTGGCGGAGTGAGCGGGGTCCCTCTGGCAGTTGGGATCCCTCGGCCTGGCCTGCAGGGATAGGGTGTGCTCCCTACTCTCTGGTTCTGGGGTGCATCACCCGAGAACCACCGCTGCCAAGTCACCGCAACTCGGCAGCTCCTGCGTTGAGCGTCTGCCCCCGGTGGTCATTGCACATCATAGCTACTGGTCAGACTGTCGCTTAGCCTTTTATATATATAGACTGTATTATTTTCCATACAAACAACTGTAAACCTACTTTAGCCACACTCTGTATATAGCTTTTTAGGGACTGGTTTCTTTCACTTAGCAAAAATACTGTTCAGGCCTGACCAGTTTGACTCAGTGGATAGAGGGTCAGCCTGTGAACTGAAGGGTCCCAGGTTCAATTCTGGTCAAGGGCACATGCCTAGGTTGTGGACTTGATCCCCAGTGGGGGCAATGCAGGAGACAGCTGATCAATGATTCTCTCTTATCTCTGATGTTTCTCTCTCTCTCTCCCTCTCCCTTCCTCTCTGAAATCAATAAAAAAAAATATTAAAAAAATACTTTTCAGATTCATTTCTGTTGTTGCTTCTATTAGTTTTTTCCTTTTATTGCTGAGCATTTTAGCATTATATGGATAAACTATAATATGTCTACCCAGTCAGCATTTGATGAACATTTGAGTTATTTACAGTTTTTGGCAATTATTAATAACACTGCCATGAACACATAAAAAGTTTTATGCAGACATATAGCTTCATTTCTCTTATATAAATACCTTCAAAGTGGGATTACTGGATTATACGGTAAATATGTGTTTAACTTTATAAGAAACTACCAACTTGTTTTAAAAATGTCTGTCACTGACAAGTAGGAGTGCATGAGAATTCTCATTGATTGCCTCCTTGTCAGACCTTAATATTGTGATATTTTTAATAGATACATAGTGGTATCGCATTGTGATTTTAGTTTACCTTTTCCTAATGACCAATGGTCATTTCATGTGCTTATTCGCTACCCATCTGTCTTCTTTGGTGATGCGCTTCTTACAATCTATTGACCATTTTTCAATTGAGTTGCTTCCTTATTATTGACACTATTCTTTATATAAACTGAGTATCAGCCTTTTATCAAATATGTTTTTCAAATATTTTTCCTCCAGTCTGGAGCTTATCTTTTTATTTTCTATTGAAGAGCAGGGGTTTTAATGTTGAATTTATCATTTTTTTCTGTTATGGCCAGTGCTTTGCGTATTGGGTCTAAGAAAATCTTTGCCTAACCCAGGGTCACAAAGATTTTTCTCCTGGAATGCTTACAGTTTTAGGTTTTACATTTAGCTCTATGGTCTTTAAATTTACATATAGTGGTAAAATGTTTTAAATTGAAAAAGAACATTTATATGGAAGAATATACAAATCACAGATGTGCACTTCAATGAGTTTTCACCAACTGACCATGTCATAGCCCAAGAAACAGAACATGACTAGCACCTAAGAAAACCTTTTGAACCTCCTTCTATGAAAAACTATTTTTGCAGGGTGGGGGGACTTAATTCTCACCCAAGGATATTTTTTACAATGATTTTTAGAGAAAGTAAAGGGAGGGGTAGAGACAGAGGGAGAGAAACATCAAGGTGAGAGAGACACATCGACTGGTGGCCTCCCACACATGCCGTGACGGGGGCTGGAGATTGAGCCTACAACCAAGGTACATGCCCCTAACCAGAACTGAACCCACAACCCTTCAGTTTGTGGACTGATGCTCTGACCACTGAAAAAACTGGCCAGGGTTGAAAAACTTTTAAGCAGAAAAGTGACAAGAAGTATTTCTCCTGGAGAAAGGACTCTAGGGGGGATATGAAGGGCTGATTAGTGGCAAGAAATTGTTGCATCTTGTTGGTTTGTGTTGGGGCAAGCACCTTAGCACCTACGGCAGTAACTACCCTGCCCTCCAAGACGGGTGCTTAATGTTTCCTGGGCAGATTGATCCTCTATATGAATACTGCAGCCCAAAGAGCAAATGCAAGTCTGGAGCAACTCCATGCAAAATTCACAAGTTAAAGAGAACAACCAACACACATGCCTAAGAAAAATGGAAATAAGATACTGACCTGAGCTTGGATTTTGAGATGGCTTGACTGAAAGAAAGACAAAAAGAACATCATTCCTATTAGGAAGGCTTAAGCATATGCTCCCCCACCATGTCAGCGGAGCTATCAGAAGAGCCATGCACAGCAGCCTGGCTCAGCACCCCCGGTGCCCGCAGCGGGCTAGCTGGGATATTTGCGGAGCAGTAGCAAGGTGCTGCAGGTCCAGGCAGGCCAGGCTGAGCACCTGCCCAAGCCCTGGCAAGAGAAGGCTCTTAGCCAGATGCTGTCAGCAGTCATGGCACAGGCAGTGACTCTAGGGGTCCTTCTCTCCCCCACCTGTGTCCCCCAAACTGAAGTCCGGGCGTCTCTCCTGCCTGCAACTCAGCCACACATCTCAACAGCAGCATGTGCTGCTGCTCTAGCAAATGGAGCACTGGACTAGGAGTCCGGGCCTTGCTATGCACTAACGGCGTGAGTCTGGGCAAGCGGCACATCTTTTTGAGCCTCCGTGTTCTCATCTGTCAAACGGGGAGGACAAACCCATTTCCCGTCTACTTTCCATTGTGGTAGGGAGGGCAGAGCAAGAGAAAGGAGGCAAATGCACTTTGTAAGCTGCTGAGTATCCTGCCCATAACACATCATTTTTACGCAGCACTGCCCAGGAGATCGAATTCTCTTAAAAACAGCACCTGCATTTTGCAGAGATAAGACCTAAAAGATACCAGATGGAAGCAAACAAAACAAAGCTGCATGGGTCCCCCCCCAAAGCAGGCTGCACTCTGCACATTCCACCCTGCTGGTCCCCCCACTGCAGCAGTCCAAATCCTCTAGTAAAAAGCCAATGGGGGTGGGGGTTGGGGGTTATGGGATGGCGCCCTCCACTGTTAGGAGGGGGTGGTGCAGGGCTCCTAAGATAAAGTGCTGTAAGCATAGGACAGGGTCTGGCCATCCAGCAGCTGTGCATAAGATTGAGAGAACCCAGGAGCAAAGGAAACTTAAATATTCTCATCAGCCACGCTGCCATACAAGCTCTTCTCCAAAGCACTGATGCCAGCACCAGCCCAGGAGGAGAATCGGGCTTTACCCCCACCGCAGGCACCCAGAGGGCCCGGCCTGGGCCGCGTCGCTTCTTTTCCACCAGCACCTAGTGGACACAGTGGAACAGTGGGTTACCTGGCACACCCCGCCGCAGGTGCTCAGCAGGATGGCTGCTCTGCAGGAGGAGGCAGGGAGGGGCCCCGGGTAGCAGGATGGCCAAGGGGCCCAGGGTGAGCCCACCTACCCCTCCTGCCCCTGAGGCTATGGCCCCCAGGCTTCAAGGAAATTTGGGGTGTCTTCCACCTATTTGCTTCCCTGAGATGATGATGATGGCGGAAGCCAGGAGGGTAAGTTGCCTCCACACTCACCAGAGAGTTCCCCAGCAGCCTTGGTTCTCGCCTTCGCCACTTACGTTCTCCGTGTTCACAGATTCCGTCTCGCTGGTTGGCATGCTGGCTGTGGAAGGGGAAGAAAACACTTCAGAGAGGGCACAGGAGGCGCTGCATGCCCCGGAGGGGCCGGTGTGAGATCCGCCACCAACAGGCCCTCTGGGAACCTAGGAGGTGGACAATGAAGGGCCCTCGGGCGCTGGACCAGCATAAGGGCTGAGAAGCCAGCACCTCCACGCAGGGGAGCCTCTGCTCCCATGCCCTGCCCAGCAAGCCCAGGGCCCCATCAGGAAGAAATTCTGTCCATCCAGACGTTTCCCGAGAAGAGCAGCCTACGGACCAAACAGGACCCTGCCCTGCGCTTGGTACCAGCTTATTCTCCTGGTTTCCAGGTTTGCCCCGAGGCCACCAAGACATCTCAGGACACCTTGCTGCCCCGGCAGGTGGACTCTAGAAAACCTGTGGATAGACCAACACGTCATGAACACATTCTTATTTTAAATATATCCGAGGGGAGGAGCTGTGGGTGGAGGAGTACAGGAGGTACCAGGCACCAAATCTTTTAAACAGTTTAAAACCCTACTCAGTTGTAGTTAACTTCTCTGATCTTTAGACGTGATCTTGTGAAGCCAATTATGAAGAGGCTCTCACCACCAAAGCCGGGCGAGAGCACTAGGGAGGTCTCCTCCCACCCGTGACCAGGGCAGAGCTGACTGTGGTCCCAGCGCCGCCATGTCCCTGGGCATGCCTCACTCCGCCACAAGCGGAGGAAATGTGGAAATGCACCCACTGGTGTCGGGAGGTCCAGGGACCCACCCGAGCCACCGTCTGGCACTTGGTTGTTGGTTTGCATCCACTTGATTTAGCCCCATAAACATCACGAGCATGTGCTGGAGACCAGGTGACGGAGGTGCGGGCGCCCAGAGGGTACGGCACTGGCTGCCCTGGAGGGCCAGCGGGAGAGGCAAGCCCCAGATGGGTTTAATTAACTGTGAAATACAGAAATATAGACTCCGCCTTACCCTCCCTCCCTCCTCGAGGGGCTGGACAAGGAACCTGAAACGTGTAGTACGCAGCTGCTGACCCTGCTCGGGCAATAGACATGGTGTGATGACAAGGATGGATGAAGGGGACCTGACTCAAAGGGCCCAGAGGTCTGAGAAACATCTGTTCTGAGAGCGACAGAGAAGATCCGGCTCCTTTTGAGAGCACCCAGGAAACGGAGTCTGTGGGTGGGAGTCTCGATAGCCACGTCCAGCAACCAGCTGTAGGCCAAGGTTTCAACGGAAAGGCAACATGGGCAGAATTCTAGACCCACAGCACACACCCGGTATTCTCGTGGAATAACCTTTTTCTTTCTTAGGTAAGTCGAAAGAAAGCAACTACATACTTTGATTTACATTCTCACAACTCCATGCAAAAATAAAGACAAAACAACCCCCCCCCCAAAAAAAAACACCCCACAACAATCCAATCATGAAAAAAACCTTTAACAGAAAGTTCCAGAGAGAGAGGGAGAGAGAATCTAAGATACTCCTGCAATTTGTCCCATGACCGTCCCATGCCTTGGCTTCGGCGAGAGACTAAAAATTCATAAAATTCAACAAAGTTCACTGTTATGGGTTCTTCCCATGGGGCCAGTCTTCTTTTCAAGAACAAGACAAAGAACATCACAGTGGGAGCTCCTTATAAACATGACCACAAGCCATCTCTGCGGCAGTTCTTCCTGGTGGTCTGAGGTCAGAAGGTGTGAGCACCATGACTCGGGATGGGGGCTGTGGGGTCCTCAGGCCCAGGTGGGTCCTGACTCCCAGCGTTAGTGTCCTGATCATGCCAACTCCACACGCTCAAAGCTCACTTCCGCCTCTCACAGTACACTACTTCAAGGTTCTGGTATTAACGCACATCATAACTTTAGTTATTATTTCAAAAAGAGCAAACATCTCCTGAATAGGCTGAGTCTTGTGGCTTGTTATTCTCTGGGGCCATGTCCCGTGATGTGAGCAAATACAGTTGCTGCGTTTCATTTCTGAAGCTTCATTTTCAAACAGTACGACTGAAGCAGATTACAGTGCATACTGCCTGTGGGGAGGGGGCCTCCCTTTGCATTTCTGGCCGGGTGCCAGCTAGGACTGGATGAAAGGCACGAGTTCCTCTCTAGACTAAGTGGGGGAAAGAGAAGAAAAAGAGCCAAACTCCCCCAGCAGCAGCACAGAGACACTAACTGGGAGGCCCAGCTCCAGGGCTTCCCGGGAGAGAAGTCCTCCTGCCTCCATCCTTCATGTGGAGGGGATGGTAGGCTCTCGTGTCGGCCAGATCTAACCTTAACTTCATGTTTGTGACCCGAGTTCTCTGAGGCTCCACATTCCCATCTGCAAAATGTGGGTACCTACATCTCGGGGCTGGAGTGGGTCCCCTCATCGTGGGTTACCCTGGATGGGTCCTCAGTGCCAGGCAATCACGAACGGCAGCTCTGTCATCTTGGCAAAGCTCTCGTGGGGCTCTCTGGACGCAAAGCAACACTCCCCGTGTGGCCCAAGTCCAGTGTCGCTCCCCCGACCACCTCCATCACTGCACGGAGGCCTCTGGTGTGAAGTCTCCCACACTTGCGGCTACTCTTGGTTGGCACTTCTCCTGCCCTGCACTCAGCAATTTCTCTCTAACTTAGCCTGTTGTGGGGACAGCAACTTTTCCGTTACAAGTATCTGACACCTACAGAGCCATAATAAATGAGTCTATTCCAGAAGGATGTCGCCAGGGCTGAGGCGGGTGGAGGGAGAGAGGGAGAGGACGGTGACTATGCTAGAATGGGGTGACCTCATTTGGTCCTGGCCATGGACCTTGGTCCAGTTCCTGATTCTGAGCAGAGGATCCAGGCTCGGGCTGGGGCCCTGGCAGCCCTTCTGTCTGCTCAGGCACATAGCTCAGCGTGAGAAAGTTCTCCTGCTTCCCCTCAGCACCCTTCCTACGTGCCACCCGCCCTGCGGCTCGGACACACACTTGAATAGGCTGGTGTACACTCTGATGCTGGTATATGCTGGTGTGTACGGGGGGTTATACTTAAAATGCCACAAACTAAAAAGTCCCAAAGGCCAAGCAAGCCCCTTATCCATCAGCACTGGTTCGCTGTCCTAGTGACCTCGATTAACCCCGAGAAACACAACATAGAGCCTGACCACTTACCGCAGATCAGCCCAGAAGGGAGACAGCACAAAATTCAAGCTGATAAGGTGATCGTTTAGACTTTATAAAAGTCCAAACAGAAAGAATGGTAGAAACCCACATAAGTAAAGCCACAGGCAAATGACTGAACACATGCCTGTCTCCCTAACCCACTGCACTGTGTCTGCCTCAGTGGGACCCGGTGTTGATGGCTGACCAGTGGCCAGGCCAAGCAGAGAGACCCCCGGAGCCCACCGCGTCACCTGCCTGCATCAGACCCTCCGCAGAAGCAAGCAGGGACCGTCTGCATGCGGCGACGCTGTCAGTCCTTCTACCTCACACGCTCCAGGGAATTTTCAGAGCTCTGTCGAGGAAGTTTTTAAATATAAACTTAAAAACTATTTTCCGTGAATCTGAGTGAAACCAGGCATTAGGACAAGCCTGGTGCCTTTAGGGGGATGCTGGCTTGCACTGCAATTTACCTGCTGAAAAGCTGGGGAAGCTCGCAGCCTCTGCTCTCTGGTCTATTCCAGGCACTGGGGTCTCTGGGATGGAGGCCTAGGCTCTGAGTGTGAGTGCACTGTGGAGGGGCCCCAAATGCTGCTGTCGGTGAGGAGAGGAGGCGGGGCAGCAGCCCAGCGCACCCCGGATTGTAGATGAGAGGTGCCAGCCTGGGTCACATTATTTCTAAGATCGTATCACTTGGCCCTGATGCCATCCTAGGCAACGCCACACAAAATAAACCAGGGAAACACACTTTCTCTGGCCAGCACAACAACAAGCATTTTCACCAGTAAAATTGTTCATTCCTCTCTCTATTCTCACTCTGAAGGACAACATACCTCGCAACAAAATCGGCCTGGCTTGTGAATTCAAAGGGAAATTACAGACAAACGTATATGTGCGTGCACATAGACACATAACACACCGTGGATGAGTCTGTGCATGGGTCCAAGTAGGCAGCCCCAAAATTATGTTCACCATTAACACGCACAGCAGAATCTCAGGCCAACTTCCTTCAGTGATGGAGGCTAATTCAGTCTTTGTCCCTGGCGATGTGGGGACAAGACCCTTTCCCTCCTGGCCTGGGTCATCTAATGCGGAAAATGAGCTGTTGGGTAATATCATCTCGGAGACCCACTGACCTCTGACCTGCCGCAACTGTGTAAAGAGGAAACGCCCACAGGCTGTCTGGTTTGGCTCCCAGCACCAGGGGGTTTTCCCTGGTGTTCCCCGAGCTCAGCAAGGGGAGCAGGGAATGAGCAGGACGGGAAGCCCCTCCCCACCCCTCAGGAGGGTCCCCAGAAGTCACCTCCTGGGGCCTGGAGAAGCACAGGGAGGAGCAGCCCCCGAGAGCCCCGAGCCAGCCACACTGAGTCCACAGGTGTCCTGGCCTCCAGGAGCCTCACTCCTGTTGCCTCCGTAGAGCAGGCTTTCTCGCGGGCTTGGGGCTTTGTCAGCATCCCCCTCCATGTCCAGCAGCCTAAAAGCTTCTCACTCCTTTCAAAGGAAGGGTAAGGGGTGAGGTCGGACAACCAAGCAGTGGCGGGCATGGCTGCCTTCCGCGGAGAGGGGGGATCCAAAGCCAAGGCCTTGTGTTTTTATCTTCTTTCCACGACAAGCATGAGCAGTGCCATGACAAGCCCTGAGGAAGGTGCCTGTGCCTGCTGGTGGTGACATGCTCAGCCATTACCGGGTAACAGATTCGTGTTGCTGTAAAGAAGCCAGACTCTTCTTGGAGAATGTGGGTCAAGGCCAGACCAAGGTTTCTGTGTCTGAAGCAAGAATGACACCCAGACCATGACTATTTCTATGTGACCAGTGACATGGGAACACAGCATCCACGCAACAGCCTCTGCCCACGTGTCCCCGGCAACGTCAGCGCCTCCCTCGGGGACCTGACTG